TCCGTAGGCCTACGTACGTGTGCTGCGTCGCCGTAGTCGCCTTAAAAAAACGAAAACAGCTCTTAGTGTAGTACGCGAACAGTGTCTTGGCGTTGCCGTCACGGTCCATTAGTTCGTAGTAGACTGGCCGCGTAGTCAAAACGAAAAATGCCTTATATCACTGATATTACGAAGGAGAGACTACCGTTTCGTCTGAAACTTTATTGATCCGATTGAGGGCGTAGTTTAGTTTTATGGAAGGCCACAATAATTATTTTTTAAACTCACAAACATTTATGGGTTTCATTTCATGTCGTTGAAGATTTTGTTGATTAAAATATTAGTATTTATATATTTATAATGTATATAAAGCCCATTGTAATACTTTAATTAGTGAGCAGCTAATCATATAGCCGGTTATAGTGAACTTTTGTAGGGACGCCATTGGCGCATCGTACATCAAGACTCTTGACGTCACTTCTTAAAGTAAACAACAACGACAATGGCCATGGCATTTAGGTAGAAAGTTGCTTATAGAAGTAGATTTTTGAAGTGAAGTTCCTCTTTTTGTACGGCTCTCAACGTCAAGATGTGGCGTCTCCAACATATAAAGGAGCTCCAGTTTGAATTTGGTTGAGGTAGGAACTTACACCATGGACTTTTACTAGGAATAGGATAGGCCTACCCCTCCCATCACATAGTGTGTAGACTAGTCACTAGCTAGTAGTAGTAGTAAGGTAGGAGGAGTAGGGTAGGCCTACTACTACAGTACTGACTCTATCTAGGCCTAGCCTAGCCGATTGATATATGATTCAACGCTAAAGTAGCATAATGATTGACCTGACAGCTTGATTTCTTTAAAGACATAATCTCAAACTTTTTAACTTTATTGCCAATCAACTAAAATATAAAACATGGCAATAGGAGATTAAAATATAGGTATTTCAATAGCAATAAGGTGTAAAAATGGGCAGTTACACCCCTTTTTCCCCCAGTTTTTAAATATTAAAAAATCTGTATCTCACTCACCATTCCCCAGTTTTTAGTCAAACAACTTTTTTCTGTCTTAGAAAAATCAGTTCTACAACATATCAAAAAATTTTTTTCCTCCACAACCTGACTTTAAATCTTGTATTATGACAATGTCCAATAGGTAAAAATTAATCAGTCAGTGTATAGGGAGTTCGCTTATGAGAAATATCTGAAATAAATATGAGAACATGCAATTTATGTAATTTATAAGCATCTAGAAAAAGTAGAACTTTAAGTTCATAAAACAAAGCAGGAGAATGCACACTAAATTTAAGTAGATACTTAGAACACAGCCTTTAATATGGGTATAAAAAAACTTTTTCCGATACTTTCTTCTACACTGTGGCTAGGCCTAGATGTCTGGTACCAGATTCATTGTCGTTCTAGTCTAAAGATACAGTACTGGATTCTGACCAATAGTGTGTATGACGTGCCCAATTTTTCCAACTGTCCCAAAGATACTGCCTGTTTAGCGATTACACAGTACAGTACATCAATGTTTTTGTGTCTATGCCCCCTCGGAGGGCATTACACACTACACTATTTGTCAATTGTAGACCCAGCCTCCCAGACCAGGGCCTAGTGGGGACTTAGCCGGGGGTGTAATTTATGAAACGGTTACGTGCTTGTGAAAGTCCCGGCAATGTGAGGCATCGTTTTAACATACAGTACATCCCCAGCGAAGTTCCCGCCAACCTACCAGCGGGAAATATCTTGTAGTCCTGGTAAAATGTCCTGCTAATAAATGATTGGATGATAAGCCCTAATGTAGCAAACATACAGAGTGAGACTAAAACAATTTTAAGGTCTAGTCTATGCTTGAATCGGAGAAGCATGATAGAGAGAAGCCAAGAAGGAGATGAGCTTGCTTGATGGAAGCACTACGCATGCGTATCATTAGGCAGATTTCCATGGAAGTTTAGAAAAGTGCGTATTGATTGATCATAGAAAAAGAATATTGATTGATTGATTTAACTGACTGATAGAATTTATTCAGTATCAAGACAGAAATTTAATAAGAAAATTGATACAATAGTGGAAACAGATTTCCTTGCCATGTCTGGTGTATTTTTTGACGCAAACTAGGTCAAATACATGCAACACACTAGGCCTACATCACCTCAATCCCTGTCGTTGTATGGTGGATTTTGCCCGGGACTAACATTTGACAAGTGCATTTACAGTGTATTTGTTAGGTGTAAACTAGACGTAAAGTACTAGATAGAGGTCTACTTCTACAAGGCCTATGCGAGGCTTCTATTGTTAATTAAACTAGGCCTACTGATTAATTAACTATTAATTATTTTAAAGTACTAATTAATATTTAATTCAACTGAATCAAAAATAGGTCGTCAACATAATTTTTAAAAATCTACAGAATCACTAACTACTAAGAAATGTAGGCCTGCGTGTTATGCACGTTTATCCACAGTTTATTTAAATCGTAAATAATTTAGTATTGACAAATCCAATGTCATCTGTTTGTCCTGAAAGAAATATAAAATAAAACTTTATTACACATAAACTAATGTCCAGTGTCAATAGGAAAAATGTTTGTCAACTAAATTTGATCTGTAATAACTCTGTAATTAACCAAGGCCCAAGAAGACTGGCAAGAAACCAGCCCCAGAAGTACTTGTAGAGAGACCAGTGATTATCAATTAAATATCTATTAATTACTGACATGACACTAAATTTAAATACTATATGGGCCTTCTCTTTTTAAAATCAGTATGCTCAAGAATTCTACAGAAGTAAGTTTTACGAGCTTCTGAAGTTTGGAGCTGCTCTACATTAGGCGGCTCCTACGTACGTAAACATCACTCACTCGGTCACTAGCTTACTGCGTGTGATTAGCGCTCTGTGTACAGCAACCGGATCTTGCGACTAGAGAGGAACTGATCCAGTACCAGATCTTTAGACTCAAACGACAACAAATCCTAATTTTGAAATAAGCTTATAATGAATGTATACGAGTAATCTGTAAAGTAAAAAATAATGCCACTTCAGTGAATTTAGTATACTTACTTACAATGGTTTTATGTTTTATAGAATGGCATGTTGGTAAGCAAGCAGATTGAGATAGTGACATGTTTAGCAGCAGCGGTGTTGAGCTTAAAGAAAAATGCTTATAAAAATTGAGAAAGCAGAGAGCAACACAAGAACAGATTCTGGTAAGTTGATATATATTTTATGTTATGATATAGGCCAAGTATTAAGTGTTATTTTAAAGGGTTTTTTTATAAGAAGTTTGTATTGTACAATTTTATAATGCTGCATTTTCATTGATGTACATTTGCATAATTCACCAGACCATGGTCTCATCACAATAATGTAATGATAATGAATGTTCATTGTCAGACACTTGAAACTATGAAAATCATAAAACTGCTGAAATGGCACCAGAGCAAAAGCAACTTCTGATTAAGTCCGGAATCGAACCAACATTTTAAATTTAGTCCAGAATTGGACCAGCAATTATGTTACTTATATCAATAACATAGCATAATACATACTCCAAGTATCGAAATGCACACCATTGTGTCGGGATTCAATATTTTGACATTAATTATGTCATCATCAGGAATGTCATCATTCAAGAGTAGCTGCAAGGCAACTACTCTTACACGTCAATAACCTTATTTATCCATTTGTACTCGTTTTAATATTAAACTTTCCAAACCGTACATCTGATTGTTAATGACAGGATAGCGCAGGGGTTCTCAACTATATCGCAATAGGAGCCAAAATTGTTAATTAAATTGAATAAATATTAAGGGCAATGGGTGTACTTCGGCACGTAGCGCGTAGCGCTACCTGAGCGCTAGGCGCGAGCCGAAGGAGGTTTGGAGCAGTGACGTAGCTACGGACAGTGCAGCCAGTGAAAACACTGGGGCCCAGGTGTATTAAAGGAACCATTCATAAATACACCTAATAAAATAAAGTTAATATTTTTTAAGAAAAAACGGCTAGCGGGCCCCTCAATAATATTTGGTTTTTAGAGGAGTAATTATTGATTACAATTTCAAATCAGTGGTGTATTCAAGGGTGTCCAAAAATTATAAAAGAAATGGAAATTTGGAAGGGGAAATTGTATTAAAATTTAAGTCTGAGAGTGTCATTTCCAGCCATTTAGAGGTGCAAAATCATAAATTTTTTTGCCTCAACCCCAGCCATCGTGGGGCTGAAGTGGTCTTCATCCACTTGTGAAAATCCTCCCTGCTTCCTTTATTTTAAATTCTCTGACCCGCCACTGCAATTGTTAAATTTTATGTGCCACCAATTTTCTTGATTAGTTTAGAACAGCAGTTGAGACCAAATATGTCCCTCTTAAAATAGATACGAATCTGATTAATCTTGCACTGGGGCCCTTTCGCTCCTAGCTACGCCACTTTGGAAGGGGGTGTCTCTCCCCCACCCAAATTATTAATTTTTTTAATGACATCATAATAAGTCGCCAGACTCTCATACATTGCATATTGACCTAAGAAAGTTACCCTTTTATTTGTTAATGCAAAAGCCAAAGTGTTATATATCACACAAAGAGCCATCAATAATACAAACACTTTTATAATTGAGACATGAATGTAGTCCCTATGTCATCTTACATTGTTACAATCATGATCTTGCCTGCTTAGTAACTGAAATTACACTTTGATGATTGTGCCAGTCGATTAAAATCCAGTTTAATGTAAAATATTATTTTCGCCTTGTTCTCGCAGGCCACGTGACATCACTTTTTAGTCTTTATGATTTTAAATTTTACTTTTCATTGTGCAGTATGTATTTCAATTTTTGATTTTTGATATTTTAGTTTCTTAATTTTCTTCGTATCTTCTTGCATAAATGGCCTTGTGAAAAACACCAATATGGTGATACAATTTTTTTCTGTTTTAAAATAAAGTTAATTACTATTATTATTATTATTATTATTATTATTATTATTATTATTATTATTATTATTATTATTACAAAGTAACATGCAGTAGGCCTATACTGATGTTCACTCTGAGAATTCAGGGGAGAAAATTTTGGTTTTATTGCTCAAAAATTGTCAAAATATAATGTTAAATGGATTTTCCTTATTTTGAAACTACTGTAGTTGTTGTGGTACAATGAAGAAATAGGGTCTGGCCATAGTGTTAAAGATATTTTCCCTTTGTTTTAAAAAAAAGTGTCCCCTTAAAGGGGTGTCCTCTAAAGTTGTGTCCCAAAAGAGGAATGATACTTTATTCACTCTATTTTCTTTACTCTATTTAAACATGTGCTAACCCAACATATACAATTTTTATTTATTTATTGTCACGATTGGTTAGTAAGTATTCAGATTCAAATTGGAAACACATTTAAAAAATACATTTAAACAATTTTAAGTGACTATGTCTTTATGATCACAATTAAAATCCTTTTTTTTTCTCTTTTTTTTTTTTTGTCTACTGATATGGTTTCATCTTAATGGTTAAAATATTTAACTTGTGATACATCACAAATCACAAAATAATTTCATCAATCCTACATGACAGCTTTTTAGTTTCATTAAGTTGGCTTAAAATACTAATGTGACCTTTAATTTTACAATTGAATAGGGTTTTGTTCGGCATAATTCTCATTTTTTTATCGCTCCTCCCCCCCATCCCCCTGGCCGAATCTTTCCCTGTAGTATGTTGTGTCATTTGTAAATTTGTAGTTTTCTATTTTTTTATAGTTAACTTGTTTATTTTATAGAGTGGCATGTTGGTAAGCAGACAGATTGACATGAGTGACATGTTAAAAAGCAGTGTTTTCACTTCATGAAATAATAATTGGGAAAATGGATAACAATTAAGGAATACCAGATTCTGGTAAGTGGAAAGATATTTCATTTTTTCATGCAGTACTTGGTAAAGACAACTTGATTTCTTGCTTCCAACAAGGTATCCATTCGTATCTTCATAAGACTAATAGTAACTTTGGAGAGTCGAGACCAGGACATAACTCCGACTTTATATTGACAAACATAGAAAATTGTTAAGTACAGGCACAATGTACACATAAAGACAAAAATAAGCTTATAATGAATGTATAGATATAAATAATCTGTTAATACTTTCCAAATTAAACAATGTTTTTGTAGTAAATTTTTGACATCCATTGTAATAATTTCAATTTTTTTGTTTTAAACTTGTTCATTTCAGAGAGCAACATGTTGATAAGTAGTGATTGAGAACGTAATGGAAAATGTAGAAGAATTTAGAAAGCTAATATCAGATTCTTTCTGGTAAGTGGAAAGTTATTTTTAATGAAGTGTTTTTACATTATGTAATGTACCATTTTCCTTGAAAGAACATGTAATTATGTCAACAACCATTAACCGGTTTTAATCCTATCATTGCCCATTAATGCAAAATTGCACAATTGTAAAATACACACAATTGATACATAACACTCAGTATCATCTACCTAATATTTACAATGTTTCATGATACTGAGAGTTATGTACCAATTTTGTGTGTTTCACTTGTAGTGATTTCACAATGTATAAAGCACCTACAGGAAAGTTCATGGTAAACTCTCCAAGAAAGGTAGCCACATTGACCAGCATTGCCTTGGGTTGTATTATAGTCAAGTTTTATACAATGGATATTAGTGTTGAAATTATATAAAGTTATTATATGTAGATTATCTATCATTAAATGAAAGTAAGTAATTTCACAATTAATTAAGAAGTAATTAAATTAATAAAAGTCATAATATTTGTTGGTTAAATTTGATATAATTTCTTTTTTAATTTCAGTTGATTTATTTGCATATTCCACCAGATCAGCTATCCTCATTACCAGGCAGAGAAATGATGAATATTCATTAAAATCAACTTGAAACTGCAAAACTCAAGAAAACTACAGAAGTGACATCAAGTCAAGAGCAACTTCTGAGAGGCATATATATCTTTCAGCAGGGCCAAGGGTGGTGGGTGGCGCGTAGGTTCCACGTGTGCCGATCGCCTATGATAGGCGATTGCTTCCGCTTGGATAATCCCAACTGTCTTTTTGCGCGAGACGCTGGCGAAATTTTCCAAAAAAGTTTCGTTAACATTTGTTGGATTGTACAGTAATGTGGTGTTTGAAATACAGTACACTACAAATGAAATGTAGTACAATAAAAATAGTGTTCCATTTTGTTTTATTCAACTTTGTGTGACTACAGAATTTCAACTAAGTCCAGAATAGGACACAACCATTTATATTAATTGCAGAATTTAACTAAGTCCAGAATAGGACTCAACTATATTGAACAATTATTTAATTAAGTCCAGAACAGGACTAAACCATTTACACTAAGTCCAAAATTTTATCTACTAAGTCCAGAATAGGACACAACCATTTACACTAAGTCCAAAATTTTAACTAAGTCCAGAATAGGACACAACTATATTGAACAATTATTTAATTAAGTCCAGAACAGGACTAAACCATTTACACTAAGTCCAAAATTTTATCTAAGTCCAGAATAGGACTCAACCATTTACATTAATTGCAGAATTTTTTACACTAAGTCCAAAATTTTATCTAAGTCCAGAATAGGACTCAACCATTTACATTAATTGCAGAATTTTAACTAAGTCCAGAACAGGACTAAACCATTTACACTAAGTCCAAAATTTTATCTAAGTTCAGAATAGGACACAACCATTTACATTAATTGCAGAATTTTAACTAAGTCCAGAATAGGACTCAACCATTTACACTAAGTCCAGAATAGGACTCAACTATATTGGACAATTATTTAATTAAGTCCAGAATAGGACTCAACCATTTACACTAAGTCCAAAAAGTCCAGAATTTCACACAAGTCCAGAATAGGACCAACAATTTACACTCTAGTACAAGATAGGACAAATAATTTATACTATTAATTCCAGAATTTTAACTAAGTCCAGAATAGGACTCAACCATTTACACTAAGTCCAGAATAGGACTCAACTATTGAACAATTATTTAATTAAGTCCAGAATTTGACCAATAATTTACACTAAGTCTAAGAAATCCAGAATTTCACTCAAGTCCAGAATAGGACCAACAATTTACACTATTTTAACTAAGTCCAGAATAGGACCAACAATTTACACTCTAGTACAAGATAGGACAAATAATTTATACTATTAATTCCAGAATTTTAGCTAAGTCCAGAATAGGACTCAACGATTTACATTAATTGCAGAATTTTAACTAAGTCCAGAATAGGACCAACAATTTACACTATGTCCTGAAAAGGACCAACAATTTACACTATTTTTAACCAAGTCCAAAATAGGACCAACAATTTACACTAAGCCCAGAATTTTAACTACCAGAATAGGACCATCAATTTACTCATTCTCATTGCTGTTTTATTAATCACCACATTGCAAACTTGATTTAATTGTTAGATTTACATGAGCAAAATCTCTTTTATAAGTTCAAAATCAGACCAAATTTTAATTATGTCCAGAATCCTTAGCATTTTATAGTAATTCCAGAATTGGGCCAGAATTTTAATCAGACTAATGTTTTACTAAGTCCAGAATTGGACTAACACTAAAGTTACTTAATATTGTATATCACAAACCTGACTTCTTTCCATAACCACCAATTTTAAGAATGTACAATAAACGTCTTTGCAGTGTACAGTAGGTGTCCCATAATCAATCTGCTTCATTTCCATACATCACAGTTTGCAAAGCTTCAGGTAACAACAGCGTATGTAGCAGGATTCAAATAAATCTGTGTCTATTCCACACAATTCTATATCAAAATTTGACTTTCCACAGTTCACTTGCATTATCTCAAAATCTGACTTCGCTAGCTTCAAGCACCGTACAGCTGCTGTCAGTACTGTATACAAATTCAAACAAATCAGTCTGGATTTCCCACAATTCATTGCTCAACCTTCTGTATAACAGCCTGTTTGCCACAGTTCATCTGCTTCATTTGTACTTAGCAAGCCTCCAACAAATCGGTCTACCCATCATTCATCTGCTTTACGCTAACAAGCTCCTACTGAATTCTAGTCTTGATAACCCACAATAAATCTGCTCAGCAAGTGTTTTCCTAGAAAATATATATATATAACAAAAACTATATAAATATAAAAGTACAATATCATAATTTTGTGAACTTTGTTTTTTAAAAATAGGTACTGATATTGAACAAATAATTATCACTTTTCAGTAATCATTAACACTGCAACAGGGGGAGTTTATGAATTTGAAAATTATTTCCTTACCTTTTGCAGGGTAGGTGGTGGTGGTTTATTTGTGGCTTGAAGATCACTCAACTTTTTTCATATTCTGAAATATTGAACATTTAAAAATAAATAATAATTGTACAAATTACAATTTTAAAAAAAATTTAAATATTCATGTAAAATCGTAATTATGAAAATAATTATGATAAGTCAGTGATGGAACCAGGCAATGGCGAAACTAAATGACAATTAAATAAATAACAAATAAACAAATAACAAATAAAATCTTTCTCATTAATATTAAGATATAGTAGTTATTTTAAACATGGTGGTAATTTATATATAGTTATACAATGGACCATTGTTTAGAACATAGCTGCAACAATGACAGAAAGAGAAATTCATAATAATAATTATTATTATTATTATTATTATTCATTATTCATTAAATAATACATAATCAGATATCAATGGATTTAAAGTACTCTATGCTTTTAAAAGAGGGCTTTTCCCCATTAGAGCATTCAGTGGGTTTGCGAAACACTTCGGGACCCCTGATTGTAAGAATAATCATTGGTTCAGAATCGGACTAACACTTATATCACTAACCATCTATTTTAAGAATGCACAATATGTCCCACAATCCACTATATTTTATTTTTAAACCAGACCTCTGAAAGGTCCAAAGTTCCTATGCTGGCATTCGTATTGCAGTACTGTATTTGCGGTGATTTAAACATGAGACCTGAGACCTCAAGTGTTAATCCGTCAGTTTCATTTTTATTGTTAAGTTAAGCGCATCAAGGCTTTAGCATAATGCGCAATTTAAGTCAAAATTATTATTGTTATTATTATCATTATCATTATTATTATTATTATTATTATTAATCTTGGCATCTGGTTTTTTTTTTTCTCCTTGGACATAATTACCGATTACTGTATCTAAAACTTTCATCCTGTACGTGTTCCTCAAAGCAATAAAAAATATAAGATAAGAAAAAATACAGCAAAACGAGCTTTCACCCTGGCCAGGAATCGGTGCCCTAGTCATTCCTCCCCGACTATCCCTATCCATTCCATGCAAGGTATGCACCAAGCAAGACCATTAACTATAGGGTTCACTAACTCGGTCCCAATTTGAAACAACTGAACGGAGGGAGGAAAGCACCGCGACCCCTAAGCTATTAATATTAAGCAATTTTTAAAGTAAATGATGTCAATCTTTGATATACATGCAAATTTGATATAATAAACCGGAAATCCGATGTTCATAATTTTATATATCATATTATATTGTATTTTTATATGTGGAAGCAAAAAAAAAAAAAAAAAAAAAAAAAAAAAAAAAAAAAAAAAAAAAAAAAATTTAAAAATAAAAAATATATTAATAAAAATAAAATAAAAGGTAAAAAAGGTGGTGGTATTCCAGCAAAACGTTTTCTCGAACCACATACACGCTTAGGTACAGTCGTAGACTAGGACTAGGCCTAATAATAGGACCTCCTGTAGGCCTAAACGTAACGTTTTCGTTTTGGTGTAGTACCTAGGCATACCTGAAATTTAAGATGTTTCCTTCGTACAAATACAAGTACAGTTATAGCCATACCTCCCTGACTTTCACTATGCTTAGCAATTAGTGTAGGACTACCACAGTCCTTGCCGTTGCATTCTAAATCGGACGCTATTTTCAGTCAGAACCGTCCTCAAATTCCGCGGTACGGTGAGATGCAATCTTTCAGGCATGCGCAAAGGGCCACTTCATATCAAAATTTACAAATCAGTATAAGAGATGTCCCCCAATTCATTTCCAGGCTCAAAATTTCAAAGTAGGATGCGGATATGAAAACCATTTAATGGGAACTTCCTAAAACTACAGTACAATAGGTATCTAAAAAAATGACAATGTGTCTTAAAAGCTTTTTAGAATGGTTCCTCACAGCCATGGACAAATTATGCAATTTTGATAGGGTGTACATGTGGAAACCCCTAAAACAGAATGTTCCAGACTTAAATGTTTTAAAAACAGATTAATGGATCTGAAATGAAACTTTTTAGAATGATTTGTCATGGTGAAAGCAATAAATTGAAGGGTCTCAATTTCCAAAAGCATCAACACTGCTGACTAGTAACAGGAGTTGATGAATTTGAAAATCACTTCCTTACCTGCTATAAGGTGGGTGGTGGTGTATTCAAGGCTTAAAGATCACTTCATATTCTGAAATATTAAACATTAAAAAATAAATACTAATAACTGTACAAGTTACAATTAAAAAAAAAACAGGTTTTACATTAACGTAAGTTGATTTAATATGTTAATTCATTAACGGTATACTCATTACATTTCTATAAACTAATCCATCATTACAGTATCTTATTCCTATAATTAATCAACAAATGTCTAAATCAAACTATCATAAATAGGTATTATAATGTAGGCCTATTATTAATTCATTATTAGATAAGAAGTATTATTCAAGCACTGTTATTATTATTATTACTATATTATTATTATTACTATTTTCATATAGATTAAAAAATAATCCATATGTATGTGTGTATTATTACTACGATTACCTATTATTATTATTATTATAATTATTATTATTATTATTATTATTATTATTATTATTATTATTATTTCCTGTATTATTACTATTATTATTATTATTTGTTCCTTTATTATTATTATTAGAATACAGGCCCGGCCAACCCTTGGGTCATGAAAATCTGGAGATTTTTTTATGAATCTTAAAAAAATCTGGAGATTTACCAAAAAATCTGGAGGTTTCCAGAATTAACCAAAAGATGATACAAGATACCAAAAAAGTCACATCACTAAAAATCATTGGCCGTTAGTGGCGACATTTGAATTGAAAATGGCTGCTTGTTTATTGGTAAGTGTTATATGGGCAACACACTGATCTACTATAATAGCTAGATTGCTCATTGTCCAAGTCTCCGACACCATGTTAATTTTTTTTTGGCATTTATTTAAATTATATAGTTAAAAATAATGATTCTTGCAATACTTTTAAATTTAACATAGGAATTTTTTAAAACCATTTAACCACTAGACGCGACTGTTTGCAGTTTAGAAAAGCGCAAGCTAAGTCGCGTTGTTATAGTGGCGTCGATCCTAACAACGCAAATATCTTTACTTGAGCTTTTTTATAATAATCTTCGCACATTTGTACTAAAGTCAATAAAAGTAAGGATTGATATATAAAATATAAGAACATCTGCAGTAGCGGTGCCCATAATGCAATAGCAGTGCCCATCTAAGGATTTAATATATACAATATAACAACACATGCAGTAGTGGTGCCCATTTGGGTTTAATATATAAAATATAACAACACATGCAGTAGGGGTGCCCATAATGCAATAGCGGTGCCCATCTAAGGATTAATATATAAAATATAATAACACCTGCAGTAGGGGTGCACATAATGCAATAGCGGTGCCCATCTAAGGATTAATATATAAAATATAACAACAACTGCAGTAGCAGTGCCAATCTAAGGATTAATGTATAAAATATAACAACACCTGCAGTAGCGGTGCCCATAATTCAGTAGCGGTGCCCATCTACGGATTAATATATAAAATATCGATCGATCATTGATCAAGTTCCTAGTCCACATATCAAGCACCCTGAGCATCCATTAGATGGATATGTGCGCTATATAAAACTACACTATTATTATTATTATTATAACAACACCTGCAGTAGCAGTGCCCATAATGCAGTAGCGGTGCCCATCTAAGGATTTAATATAAAATATAACAACACCTGGTGGTGCCCATAATGCAGTAGCGGTGCCCATCTAAGGATTAATATATAAAATATAATAACACCTGCAGTAGGGGTGCCCATAATGCAATAGCGGTGCCCATCTAAGGATTAATATATAAGATATAACAACACCTGCAGTAGCGGTACCCATCTAAGGATTTATTATATAAAATATAACAACATCTGCAGTAGTGGTGCCCATAATGCAGTAGCGGTGCCCATCTAAGGATTTATTAAATATAACGACACCTGCAGGTGGTGCCCATAATGCAGTAGTGGTGCCCATCTAAGGATTTAATATATAAAATAGAACAACACCTGCAGTAGTGGTGCCCATAATTCAGTAGCAGTGCCCATCTAAGGATTAATGTATAAAATATAACAACACCTGCAGTAGCGTTGCCCATAATTCAGTAGCGGTGCCCATATACGGATTAATATATAAAATATCGATCGATCATTGATCGAGTTCCTAGTCCACATATCAAGCGCCCTGAGCATCTTAAATTAGATGGATATGTGCGCTATATAAAACTACACTATTATTATTATTATTATTATTATTATTATTATTATTATTATTATAACAACACCTGCAGTAGCGGTGCCCATAATGCAGTAGCGGTGCCCATCTAAGGATTTAATATAAAATATAACAACACCTAGTGGTGCCCATAATGCAGTAGCGGTGCCCATCTAAGGATTAATATATAAAATATTGATCGATCATTGATCAAGTTCCTAGTCCACATATCAAGCACCCTGAGCATCTTACATTAGATGGATATGTGCGCTATATAAAACTACACTATTATTATTATTATTATTATAACAACACCTGCAGTAGCGGTGCCCATAATGCAGTAGCGGTGCCCATCTATGGATTTAATATATAAAATATAACAACACCTGGTGGTGCCCATAATGCAGTAGCGGTGCCCATCTAAGGATTATAAAATATAACACCTGCAGTAGTGGTGCCCATAATGTAGTAGCGGTGCCCATCTAAGGATTAATATATAAAATATAATAACACCTGCAGTAGAGGTGTCCATAATGAAATAGCGGTGCTCATCTAGGATTAATATATAAAATATAACAACACCTGCAGTAGCGGTGCCCATCTAAGGATTTATTATATAAAATAAAACAACACCTGCAGTAGTGGTGCCCATAATGCAGTAGCAGTGCCCATTTAAGGATTTATTATATAAAATATAACGACACCTGCAGTAGTGGTGCCCATAATGCAGTAGCGGTGCCCATCTATGAATTTATTATATAAAATATAACGACACCTGCAGTAGTGGTGCCCATAATTCAGTAGAGGTGCCCATCTAAGGATTAATATATAAAATTTTGATCGATCATTGATCGAGTTCCTAGTCCACATATCAAACGCCCTGAGCATCTTAAATTAGATGGATATGTGCGTTATATAAAACTACACTATTATTATTATTATTATTATTATAACAACACCTGCAGTAGCGGTGCCCATAATGCAGTAGCGGTGCCCATCTAAGGATTTAATATATATAATATAACAACACCTTGTGGTGCCCATAATGCAATAGCGGTGCCCATCTAAGGATTATAAAATATAACACCTGCAGTAGTGGTGCCCATAATGCAGTAGCGGTGCCCATCTAAGGATTAATATATAAAATATAATAACACCTGCAGTAGCGGTACCCATCTAAGGATTTATTATATAAAATAAAACAACACCTGCAGTAGTGGTGCCCATAATGCAGTAGCGGTGCCCATCTAAGGATAAAATATAACAACACCTGTGGCAGTGGTGCCCATAATGCAGTAGTGGTGCCCATCTAAGGATTAATGTATACATATAACAACACCTGCAGTAGTGGTGCCCATAATGCAGTAGCGGTGCCCATCTAAGGATTTAATATATAAAATAGAACAACACCTGCAGCAGCGGTGCCCATAACTGCAGTAGCGGTGCTCATCTAAGATTAACGTATAAAATATAACACCTGCAATAGTGGTGCTATTAGTGCAGTAGAGGAAGTAGAACACTTACTCCTGAGACTGCTCAGGAGTAAATCGTCTGTAGTAAGGTTCAAGTAACTTAATACAAAGAGCGTCTTCACAGGCGCTGCCCAGGGCTTCCAACAAGTAAACTGCTTCTTCAAAGCTTACTTCTGACTCGTCTGAATGTGCCTAGTATTATCATTATTTTTATTATTACTATGATTACTTATTATTATCATTATAGGTCTACATGATAAAGTTTTTACTTTTTCAATTTCTTTATGATTTAATCATTATATTTATAATTGTTATATTTTAATTATATTTGAATTATTCATATATTATATTGCATTTTGATGATGCAATTGGAAATAAAGTCATACTCAATTGAAAATTTGAATTATTATTCTTTCATATAGGCCTATTATTTATAAACAATAGTATAACATTGTAAACATGAATTATGTGGATAATAATCATAGAAAATAAACTTATAATAGGCTTTTATATAAGATAAAAATAATGTCATCTATCGATCAAAACATCCATTTTGATTAACTGAATAGCAGCATTTTGGCATTGCGGCAGTGCCAATAGGAAATAGAACTTTTTTTGCACTGCAGCAATGCCAATAGAAAATACAGCTTTTTTTCGCACTGTGGTAGGGGCGATAAAACAGCAGCTTTTTCACACTGCGGCAGTGGCAATAGAAAACAGTAGCTTTTTCACACTGTGTCAAGGCAGTGCCAATAGAAAACAGTAGCTTTTTTCTTGTAGCAGTGCCAATAGCCTCAGCTCATGGGGAGAGTTTTTATTAGACTTATTATGGCCCAAAATATAAGGTATTGGCAATCAAAATAACGCTATTTGGATAGACAAATTATATTGTTTTATATTTTTGATCCGACGACCTGGACGACAGGGAATCCAGGCTTGTCCATCAGAGAAAAATTCCCCTGACACCTCCCCCACCCCCTCCCCACTGGCGCCACCCCTGTCGTCAACACCATCACGAATTGCGGTCCGCAGACAAGGTGGTGCGAGAGATGTCCAACATGCCGGACAGCTCAACAGCCTAGGCCTACCACCAGTTCAGAAAAAGATTCATTCACGTATGGTTCCACCTAAATATTGCCTTTATAAAAACCAAAACCATAATAACAACTGTCCTCTACTTACATTAAAATCGGTCTTGTATTAATTTCACTTTTGAACAAAACTCTATTATACTCAAAAAAGCAAGTTGTCAACACCTTTCAAATGTGCGAGTTGCCGTGCCAGGCCTACTTCCAATGTTTACATTGGCCTATCTTAAACGCTGGCGACGCCCTACCCTGGCAGGCAAACGATTCTCGAGGTAGTATGAGAAATGCATAAGAAATCAGGATAGGCCTATTGTTCTTTTTTTCCTTTTTTTTTTGTGCCAAAAATACTAAAGCTACATGAATGAAATTCGCATATGTCATTGCTGTCTTACCGCTTCCAGTTGAAAAGTGCGAGCGTCATTGCCAATTTTTATCACAATTTGCAGAAAAATAAAACTATTAGGCCAAAAAAAAATAGTTTGTTTGCCCCCTCCACCCGCCCTTAACTAAGAAATAGGGGCTGAAAAACAAAAGAAACTTTTTAAAAAAGGGTTTTTGTTTTATTTTTTTTCTTTACAAATTAAAAAAATGTGAGTGAATTTATCTTTAAATTTTTTTTGCCAGATGCCCAACAAATTTGTCTAAAGTTGTTGTCTGATGTAAGATATTGCCATTCTAAGCCTCTGGGTTTTTATTCCATCTGATGAGCAAATAAAAAAACAACCTTTTTCCACCCGCCCCTATTTATCATTTAAAAAAAAAAAAAAAGGCAAACAAACAATTTATTTTTTATGGTCTTATGTTACAAAAGCTCACTGTCATTAACCGAATCAGTGGCGGATACTCCGAATGCATAAGTATGCTCACTCTGTATGCGCGAGCCTGCGGCGTCGTGTATGATGCATGCAGTGAGTTTGTTTTATGCGTTTAATTTCGAGTTTCAATGTTAGTATTAAGCACCACGTCAGTTTTATTAAGATTGATAATGATTTTGTTAGTTGAAAGCCCTTAAAAAGTTGTTGGACTCTTAGGAAAGAGTATTTCTCGATAGTGTTATCTGATTTACGGAAAGTAAATACGGATCTTCTTCAGACGGAAGATCGTTAATAAACATAAAAAGAAGAGGACGAAGGATATTACACCTTTGAGGTTGCTGCATAAGTTTAGTAATATTTGCACGATATTAATGAAAGAAGGCAACTTTGACTCCTTGATTTTTTATATATTCATTTATTTCGATGTGTATTTACGTCAAGAAAATATCTCTGTGTGATGTTTTGTCCTATCTGACGTTTTATCATACAGTCCGTTCGAATCGAGCCCACGCCGACCTCCGTCTCTTTAATAGTGTTGATCCAAGTGTTTTACAGAAATACTCACGCTATAGCCCAACACATTAATCTTATTCATTTAAATAGGTATTGAACGTTGTGGCTGATGGACTCTCCGAAATAGTTTCTACAAGTCAAGATATTGTTAACCTTGATTATTAATGCCTTCCTCACCCGTCACAAATAATTACAGCATTCAAGGAATCGGTTGGATTCGTGTCAATACAAGTCATGAGTAGATAAACAAAACGGAAACTGATAGCTTAGATTCCATGAAATTCCGTACTTTGCAATTAAGTCATAGCGTAACATTATGTTTAATTTTATTTGATTCATCATCTGGATGCAATTATGACAAATTAATGCACTTTATCCCTAGCTACACTGTACAGTTACAGGTAATAACGTGAACGTTTGAAATGTATATTTTCAATAGACTTTGTATTTCTTTAATTTAAATTACCGAATGGACGAATTCATTTGGTGTAAACACCACCGATGATAAAGTCGGAAGAATTAAGAACTTTCAGTGGGCCCTTCTGGGGTCTCACTAAAAGGCGTATACCACCGCAGTGGTGGTGGTGATTTGGCATTGCACCAGGAGAAAAGTTCCCTACTCTTTTTTTTAGAGAGTGTAATTTGTTAGTACTAATTTCAGCGGCGAATTTTTAATTCATTTTGTTGCAATGCAAACGTAGGCCTATTTTTAAAATATAGAGCACATATGATTTGGATACAAACGTAAACAGTTCTTCTTTAAAGCTGAAACCAGTTACAAACTATTCCATCATTTTTATATGCTTTCTCTTTCGAAGACTTAGCAAGATATAATTTGGTTAAGACGAGGAAGTTATTCAGTCGATTCATTATCGTATCGACCGCGAAGACTGTGATAATACTGACACCTGAATGTCGATCTGCGGATATGAACGACCTCCGAGATGCACTTTCTATATATGTTAATAAATTTAAGGTATTGGAAAAGAAAGTTATATTTTTTAAGTATCAAACAAAACGTACTAATTTTAGACAGAAAAAAATAAATCTATATAATGCAATTAGGCCTACATCCAATTCATCATTATAAAGACAAAACCTCAATTGACGACAAGAAGGTCTGAGATTTTCGAAGAGATGTTTTTTTTTATAGATAAATAATAATATGATAGAGATAAGCTCTAAATCGTCTTGCGGTAAAGCTCCTCGGGAACATTTTGATTCCTAGATGGCGGGAAATGAACTTTCCCAACTTCTGAAGTGTCTATTAATGACTTTTAAGTTCTTCAAAATTCAAGGTTTACCCCTCTTGAACAGTCAGGAAATTTGTTCTCATTCTGATTACAGTAGGCCTAAGTAGGCCTAGGCCTATTGTGTGTGTACCGGTATACTCAGAAAAAAAAAGAAGAGTAGTTGCATATACATGAGCTTTCCCGACTTACAATTTTACCATTGCAACAAAAAAAAAAAAAAAAAAAAAAAAAAATA